GGTTTAGGGTTTAGGGTTTATGCATGATTAGGTCTTTGGCGAGGATTGAGGGTTTATAGGTTTGGCTAATATAGGAGGGCTGCATTTCGTGTGGGGTCTTTGGGCCTTGGTTATAATGAAATGCGACCATCATCACTGTAAAGCTACCAGAGCTTCCCCTAAGGGTCCAAAGGANNCATGTACTTGGGTTACGGATAGTGGTTTTGGAGGTTAGTATTCAGAAGAGTATATGATTATTAGGTACTTGGACCTTTAGGGTTCTAACGAGAGAGACTGGTGTTAATTTGCCCCTGCCTCTTTTGCATGAAGTACTGTAAGCTGCCATGAACCTTTCAGCATGACTCTTTACAGGTTTTTCCGTCTTCAACCTGAAACCCTAAGCCCCAAACCGCGGGGCATATCAGGTGTGACCACCGTCTCTGAATCCTAAACCCTAAGCCCTAAACCTTAAACCCCAAACCCTAAACTCTAAACCCGAAACCCTAAGCCCCAAACCCCAAACCCTAAACCCGAAACCCTAAACCCTAAACCACTCCAAAAGGAAGGCCTGCCCTCCAACAGTTCCGCACAGTGTTCCCTAGCATTTTTAGTTTGGGGGTTCAGGGTTTAGGCTTTAACCTAGTGAAGGTTAGGAGCCTAGAGGTTTAGGGGTCCGAGGCTCAGGGGTTTGAGGAATAACGAGTTTGTAGTGCGTTTTCTTCCATAAGCACACCATGATACCACAACTCATACTTTTCTCGTTCTTCAGGGTTTGCCTTTATATCAGGGGCTCAGGTTTCGGAGTGGGTTCACTGCTCGCCGGACAAATGGGCTGCCGTGAGCGATCGATGATTCCGCGAGACAGCCCTGCTCTTAGGATTTTGGGGTTTTGGGGGTTTCAGGGCTTTCAGCTTCCATGCATACCTAAGCCAGCCCCTCAAGCGATAACTGAAGTCCTGTATTATATGTCCTAGACCCCCTTGGGGGTTTCAATCTGCTCAAGTCATACTAAAAGCTAAAAGCCGATATACCTATGGTCTCCAACGTACTTCCGGTTCTTCGCTGTTTGATGCGGGGTCCTAACCACAAAAATTGGCTAGACCAAAACCATGCACCATCATGGAAAAGGTTGTACGTAGATCTTCATCCCAAAGCTCTGGGGGTTTAGGGCCTAGGGTTTTTAGGGCAGGAACTGTAGAGTTTTAGGCTTCGTGTTCCCTAAACCCTAAACTCTACACTTTGGATTTGTGGTTTTGGGAGTTCTCTACACCAAAATCTGTAAACTTTGCGGTTTAGGGTTTAGCGGAGCGGTTTCCAGCTGTAGGCTGCGCTGCTGAACGCCATCCTCGGTGCTTGCGGCTCCTTGGCAAGGGGCCAGGATTGCAAGTCCAGTATCGTTCCCAGTTGCTGTTCCGTGTGTAGCGGTTTCTGTTGTCGCGGTGCGTGTTTTGGAGCTCTGTGGGTTGATTTCGAGGCTTGCTTCTGAAGCCGTGTGCCCGCTCAAAGTTAAGTGGGACTGCGGATCAACCCCAAGACTCCAAGACCCCGGAGACATGGGTACAACCGCAGGAGCCATGCCTATGCCATCTTCTGGGGCTTCTAGGGAGCTCGCAAGAGGGGATGCCAGATATGCCCCTCTGGCGGTCGAAGAAGAGGGAGAGCAGGAGGGGGAGAAAGCACGTCACGCCTTGGGGCTGGAGGATTTTCATGGCCACGATGAGCCCAACCTGCAGTTGGGAAACATCCTCATGTGCCTGGCGTTGCGAATGATTTCTCCTTTTTCTCTGCTTGTGGTCATGGTGCTTCTCCGAATGCAATGGATGCGGCCAGTACTAGACGATGACACGGGGACGTTCACGCAGGCATACGGGGTATTGTGTCTGTATTCTGCAAGGCCCGATGATCAATGCTTTCTCTTCTGCAGCCTCCTCACGTATTTCTGCAACGATTCGTACAGAAGCTCGGGGCCACTCGTTGCTGTGCTCTTTCCTTGGGCCGTCTTGTTTGCATACGTTCCAAATAGGATGGCAGCTCAAGCGTCTGCTTCTGACAGGCCAGTGGAGGTTCAACGCTCCAAGTTTGTGCAATTCCTCATGATAATTGCTAGGCAATGCGGGGTCCCGGATGACACCATCATGCAGGTTGAAGGCGATGGGAAAGAGGACAGCTGCGACAGGGCCATGCAGCTGCTGAGCCACAAAGACTTGACCGTCCGAATCTATTATCCGTTCAGCCGCTTGCAGTTTTATAAAAACATGGGGATAGCAGCGATCCTGCACCGGGCAGGTTCAAGGGGATCTTCGCCTTTTGATAGAATCGGCATTCTCTCAGAGGATGGTAAGTTGGTGGGGGACAGCAGCTGGATCACTGACTGGCCCGACACAGATCGTTTCGTGGCGCAGCAGAAGCGGATCAACAACTTGGCCCACATTCCGCTGCATGTGCCCCCGCGCCCTGAAACGATTCCAGCCAATCTCGACCTGCCTGTGCGCTACAAGACCCGCTTACTACAAGGTGGCATGAAAGCTGCAGACTTTACAAACCGAGTTTCGGTGGGCTTCCCCATCCCAGAACCTTTCTGGGTGACAGCCATGCATTCTGCAGCCATTTTGCTTTACACATGTGTGCTTGTTGCTTCAATCTGCCTCTCTTGGTTGATGCCTCAGTGGCACTCGCGTGGCAGTCTTCAGCACTGGTGCATGTTCATCTTGTTCGCTTGGTACGGTCAAGTTTTTGGGAATTTGTCTGGGCGTATGCTGACCCGTGATATCCCGGAGCTGAAGAGGAGGTATCGTGAACTCAAGGTCTTAAATTCCATGCTGGCTGGTCAGGCATCTGCCGCTCAAAGGTGCTTGCCATTGGTGAGGCTGCAGGAACCGCAAGATTTGCTGGTTTGGGCGGAGGTGCGAGAGCTGTTTTTGGCCCGCTATTCCGCATGTCAGCTGGAGATGGAAACGTCCGTCTGTGTTACTACGCTCCTCACACTTGGGATGGCTGCTTGCGGCCTGTACTATGCCTTGCAAGAAGACTGGGAGGCAGGTCTCGTGAGTGTACTGGCACTGCAGCAAATGGTCTCCTACATCATCGCCAGCTTACCCTTCTTCGTGTTGGGGGTCCTTGTCAACATGGAGGGCAGCAAGTCCTTAGATCTAAACCCTAAACCCTAAACCCTAAACCCTAAACCCTAAACCCTAAACCCTAAACCCTAGCATGCTCTTCAAGCCCAGCTCGCCCTATCTCAGCCTGGCGTCGCCACCGCCGAGGAAAGAGAGCGCATCCAAGAGACGGTGACCATGTCCAGTCTTTTGGTGCAGCGGCTCCGGGACGACTCCTCCGCTGATGTGCACATCCTGGGGTTGAAGCTTACTCCGAGCACGGCATCTGCTATCGCATCCGCAGTCGCCAGTGCCTTGGCATTCACATTGAGGAGTTTGCCCATGCGGGAGATCGAGGACAAGCTCCATGAGAGCGACGCATGGGACAACATCACCTCGATCTTGGCAATCAATTTGACGCGCACGGCGTAGGATACCCTGTTCACTGATCCTGGATTCATCTCATGGGCATTGGTTAGTATGGATGTGCACTTCATGCTTGCGACTGAATGATGCTCGTGATGATCTGTTGAAATGTGCTGTGAGACTCACTTGCTCAGACAAGCGTTCAGCCAGTAGTGCAGAGTAGTTTCACTTGTACTTGTATGTGCACATTGCTGTTCCTTGTGGGCTAGAGCCCGGACTGCAAAGTGCAGCGTGCGCCCAGCAAAGACAGTTCGCATGTTGCATCTCTTGTGACATGGCTGAATCACTTGTGATGGCCCGGTGCGTGCAAGTTCAGTCTAGCTACAATGAAGCTGTAAGGCGCAAGCTTATACCTATAGTGATTCCAACCCCGAAGCTCAGGAAAAGGAAGTCAGTGGCCATTGAGCCTCTGCCTGCTGCGCCACAGCATCTTGGCGCCATCAGCACTGCTCTCCTATTACAAAGCCCTAAACCCCTACACCCTAAACTGCTAAACTGTCCATTGTGGGGACCTGCCCGACAGTGAGACTGCGAGAACTGAGGTAGACTTGGGATCATGGGCTCAAAGCTCCAGGGGTAGAACTTCGATTAGCTGTGCCTTCCAGTTCTTGCAAAGGGCTGGGCAGGCATGTTTGTTAAAGGCTTCCTTCCTGAGCTCCAGAAACCTTATGGGCCAGGCTTGCAAGAATCCACGGCCCCTCTAAACCGCAAACTCTGGACTACAGACCCGCGGCCCTAAACCCTATAAACCCAAAGACCCAAAACCAAAAAGTAACCATAGACCCGCGGCCCTAAACCCAAAGACCCTAAACCCAAAGGTAACGATACGACAGGCCGCGGTGCTTTGCTCGAGGTGCCCGTTTAGAGCTGCACTGGGCTTCGGGAGGGCTATAGGATTCGACTGGATGAGAAGAGGATCATAGAACTAATGTAGGGGCCTTGATAATTGCCTATACTATTTTGACCCCTTATTATAATTATCGTATACTATACCCCGAAGATCATTTTCCGAAAATAGGGGACCCTAATACCGCGCCCTAAATAGTAGGATCCTTGTTCTAAGGTCCCCAAAATACAGTAGCCCTTATTTTTGGAAACTCCCATATAAGGCTATGGGGTCCCCTTGGGGCTCACTTAAGCTTGGGGTGTATACCTTAAGAACCCAAAACCTACTTTTTTGTAGGGTCCCTATAAATCCCATATTAGGGTTTATAAAAAGAATCTACAAAAAGTGGGTTTTGGGTTCTTAAGATAGGGTCAATAGCGATGTGAAGAGCCCTCCTGGACCCTGCGATACCTATGTTTCCAGGGCTCCTCGCTCTGATTTTCTTCAGCTCATGAAAAGATGTTTAGGGGTTTTGGATTTAGGGTTTAGGGTTTAGGTTTTGGGTTTTGGGTTTAGGCCCCTTTTCGGGGGTTACGAGCTGTGGTGAGGGCTTTCAGGCAGGAAGGTCTGCTTCGTAGTTTGTCTGCTTATCAGCTTTACATGATGTGTCGGGACTTTTGCTAGGGTTTAGAGTTTAGGGTTTCGGGTTTAGGGTGCTAAGCCCTATAAGCCCTAAGCTCGACGCCCTTGCGCCCTTTCGCGGTCTAAACCAGACTGACCTTATGCAGTCGAGTGCTGAACACGTATATACGTGGGGATATCTTGGATCCAGGGGCTGATCTTTGCAAAAGGTTTTAAAGCAGTTAGGGTCTGTGGTTTAGGGGTTGAGGGTTTTGGACACAAGATTTTTATTGTACTGAAGAACCGGATCCCAAGCAAGTAAGGCTAACTGGGTCATAGTACTTGGTTATCCTTCTGTGCATGGGTTGTTTGGGTAAAGCCGGAAGAACATTCAAGTTTGAGCAGACAGCTAGTCGGATTCGAGCTAGTTCTCCAGCTTGGGCATTGCTACCGACAGGAAGCAGGATTGTCATATGGGTGGTTGTCAAAATTATGGTCCCTTTTTGGGTCCCATTATAATACGGCACCTATTATTTAGGGTACCCCAGAAGGGACCCTAATTCTGACAACCACCCATATGGGGCACCGGGGATCCTTTTGCCTTGGAGCCTTAAATGGCCATGTCCAATATACGACATAGTATATAGGGTTTGGCCCTAAAGTACATTTAAAGGGTTAAATGGCCATGTCCCACATAGTCTGTAGGTTTTAGCCTTAAAGTACATTTAAAGGGGCTGCTTTTAAGGTGAAAGGATATGCTGCATGATTACATGGACCCTTGGCCTTAGGCGAAGACAAGTCTGCAGGAACCGCACGAAACTGACCCTAAACCCCAAACCCAAAGCCCTAAATCCCATAAGCCCTAAACCCGAAACCCCAACCCCTAAACCCACACCCTAAACCCTAAACCCCAAACCCCAAAAACCCTTAGCCCTAAAACCCTAAACCCTTGACCCCCCAAGCCCTAAAACCCTAAACCCAATCCCTAAACCCAAACCCTAAAACCCTAAACCCCAAACCCCAAACCCTAAACCCCAAACCCTCAACCCTAAACCCCCTAAACCCCAAAACCCCTAAACCCTAAACCCCTAAACCACTAAACTCCTAAACCCCGGGATCGCAGATGAGGACCTTTCTTCATGCACTAAAGGAAGTGAGCCGCCGGGCGTCGCTGGAT